TATTGTTTAATGAGTATAGCATTTCTGTTGGAGTGAAGAAAAGTTCTGGAAATGGATAGAGGTCATAGTTACACAACACTGCATGGTATGACTTGTACACTTTAAATGGTGATTTTTAGGTTATTTATATCTTACACAATAAAAACTATCTCGGGGTGTTTATTCATATTATAAAAGGTTCTCTATGAGTCTTTAAATATACGCTCCCAGTGCTTAAACCATTTCACACAGCTCTTGGATTCACGTCAGCGACAGGTCCACTCATAACTGATTATATAACATCTGTAGTTCATCTCAGTTGGTTTTTGAAAATAGGTTATTGAAAAACTGATACTCAGTTGGGACAAAGGTCTTAGCTTTTCTCTGCATCCAGGTTTCCACTTGTCAGAGCAAATGCCTCTGCAGAGTCCTCCGCGTCCATCCTCGCTGCTGCCCTCTCAGCGAGAGGGTGCTGGTGCTTATGCTTCACAAAAATATTTCAACAACATGAGCGTCTCCCTTTCTCACAAGGATTATACCGGGAGGAATGAGGAAAACAGATGTTGCTCATAAGGCTCCTAATAGACGTGTTTCCATTGTAAGCTGATCTGACTCTGAATTTGGCATCTGCTCCATTCGCTGTGGTGGGCTGAGCGTTTAGCCTCACAGTTTGGCTGAAAGTGAATAGTGACCTTTGACTGTTACCTGAAAACTCAATGATAAAATGCTCTCACTAAACCTCTCGAGAGGGTGACTTCACATTCTAAGCACATGTCTTCAAAACACATCACTCCATTTACTAAGTTCATTTCATCCTTTGGTTGGGAATACTTATTTCATCTGATACAGAGCATTCCCCAAATCTAACGGGAAAAGCCTGTGTGGTCAGAATGGCAGAGGAGAAAGGACATAAATCTCATATAAGGCTCCCTACAGGTCACTGTACCACAGCTTCTCAATTAACCTTCATCCGCCCCCACGCCCCAGACTGCCGGGGCCTGGGTGGGAATCCTGGAAGTCTGGCTGGGAACAGTTTCTCATTATCGGCTGTTCTTCTGAGGATCTGAGCACCACTGCAGCAGCTCAGGTGTCCCCTACAGGGGAAGGAGCCCCAGGCCCCACCTAATACGATGTAGCTTATTTGTAACTACAACACTCATTTTGTTTTATAGTTTTATGGCAGTATAATTGACATTCAGAAAACTACACATATTTAATGTGTACAATTTTACAAATGTTGACATATGTGTACTCCTGTGAACCCATCACTATGGACACAGCCATTGCTAGTATATCCACCCTCTTTTGTAACCCTGCCCTCCTGTCTGTCCCTTCTTATTCCCATTTGGATTGTTTCCAGTTTGGGGCTATTACAAATAAAGCTGCAGCATTTATTTACAATTATTTGTGTGGACATATGCTTTCATTTACCTTGGGTTAAATACCCAGTAATAGAATAACTGGGTCATATGATAGATGTATGTTTAACTTTTTAAGACACTGACAAATGGTTTTCCCAAGTATCTTATCATTTTATATTCCAATAATCAGTCTATTAGTGTTTCTGTTGACCCACCCCCTTGTCAACACTTGGAATGGTCAGTCTTTTTTCATTTTAGCCATTCTAGTGGGTAGACAGTGGTATCTAATTATGGCTTTAATTTGCAGTTTTCTAATCACCATGATATCAAACAACTTTTCATGGGCTTATTTGGCATCTTTTTATCTTCTTTAGTTTATTCAATACTTTTGCCCATTTTTTGTTGGGTTGTTTCTTGTTTTATTTTTTTATTAATTTTTATAGGATGAAAAGAGAGAGAAAAACATCAGTTTTTTGTTCCATCATTTATATGTGCCCTGACCGGGGATCAAACCCATCACCTGGGCATATCAGGACCCTAACCAGCTGAGCTACCCTGCCAAGACTGTTGGTTGTTTCTTGTTATGTATAAAAATGTTTAATTTGGCAAAGTCTAAAGTATATTTTCTTTTATAAAAGATTGTACTTTTTATGTCTTACTTAAGAGATCTTTGGCAAATTCAAAAGCACTAAAATGTTTTTCCAATTTTTTTCTGAGTTTTATAGTTTTAGTTCTTATATGTAGATCTGTAATCCATTTCAAATTAATTTTTGTAGATGATGTGAGGTAAGGGTTGAAGTTTTTGTTTGCTTTACATATGGCTGATCTAAGACCATTTGTTTAAAACACTGTCCTTTCTCCATTGAATTGCTTTGATATCTTTGTCAAAAATCAATTGACCATATAGAAGTAGATTTATATCTGGACTCTTTGTTCAGTTTCACTAATCTATTTATCTAGCTTTGTGCCAATACCATAGCAACTCCATTATTTTAGTTCTATAAGTTTTTTAATCAAGTAGTCATCTTTTTCAAATTTGTATTTTGACTAATCTAAGTCCTTTGCATTTCCACATAAATTTTAGAATCAACTTATCCGTTTCTGTAAGAAAATCCTGCTGGAATTTTATTGGCATTTTGAATCAATAGAAAAATTTCTGCTTAGCTGATAACAATATTGAGTTCTCTGATTTATGAGCACTCTGTATCTCTTTAATTATTTAGATTTCTTTTATTTCGGCATATCTTGTCATTTGCAGTGTACAAGTCTTACACCACTTTTGTTAGATTTATCCCTAGATTTTTCACACATTTGATGGTATGGTAAGTAGTATTTTAATATCATTTTCTAATTGTTTATTGCTAGTATATACAATTGTTTGTATATTCACACATTACTAGTATGGAAATTCAGTTGGTTTTTATATAATGATCTTGTATCCTGCAACTTGACCAAACTCACTTAGTAATTCTAATAACTTTTTTCTAGAACTTTTTTCTTATAAGATTTTCTACATAGGATTTTTCAAATTTTTAAATTAAATTTATTGAGGTGACATTGGTCAACATGAACATACAGATTTCAGGTATGGGTTTCTATGTTATAAGATCTGTATATTGCACCATGTGCCAACCACCCAAAGTCAAATCTCCAGTCACCATATACTAGTACCCCCTCTCGCCCCTCCCCCTTCACTCTGGCAACCACACACTGCTGTTTGCGTTCACAAGTTTCAGTTTTACATCCCACATAAGAGTGAAATCATACGGTTCTTCGCTTTTTCTGACTTATTTCACTTAGCATAATGTTCTCACGGTCCATCCATGTTGTAAATGGCACTATTTCATCCTTCCTTATGGCTGAGTAGCATTCCATTGTGTATAGGTACCACATCTTCTTGATCCTTCAATCTTAACATTGTTGATATTATAGGATATTTAGCAGCATCCCTGGGCTCTAAATGCCAGCAGCACCCCCACCCTAGTTATAATAAATAACATTGTCTCCAAACGTTGCCCCACTATCGAGGCAAAAATTTGCCTTGCGGGGCAAAATTGCCTACTATCGAGAACCATAGACACAGACAATCTTGCCATCTGCATGTAAAGACAGTCTTACTTCTTTTTCAGTCTTGATGCCTTTTATGTATTTGTTTGCCTGTTGCACTGGCTGGAATCTCAAGAACAGTGTTTAAGAGCAAACATCCCTGCCTTGTTCTTTATCCTAAGGGGAAAGCACTGAGTCATCAACTTTAAGAATGATATTAACTGGAAGTTTTTCGTAAGGTCCTTTATCGGGTTGAGGAAATGTCCTTCTATTCCGGGTTTGCTGAAAGTTTTTATTAGTGGATGTTAAATTTTGTGAAATGCTTTTTCTGCATCACTAAGATGATCTTCTGGCTTTCGTAGTTAATATGGTAAATTATATTGATTTTTTTTAATGTTAAACAAACTTGCATTCTTAGAATAAACTCCTCCTGATCATAATTTATTATCTTTTTTAAATATACTGTTGGGTTGGATTTGCTAACATTTTCTTCAGAATATTTGCATCATTTCTGAATATGTTATCAGAATAATTCTGGCTTATGGAATGAATTGGAAATATTCCCTCCTTTTCCGTTTTCTAAAGTATTTGTATAGCATTGATACTATTTTTTTCCTTAAATATTTGTGACACAATTTGGACCTGGAATTTTCTTTATGGGAAACTTCTAACTACAAAATCAATATATTTTCCTTATTATCCTTTTACGTATAGATTCTATAGTGATATCACCTCTCTTATTCCCAATATTGGTGGTTTATGTTTTCTCTTTCTTTCCTGACCAGTCTGCCTAGATATTTAATTACGTCCCATTTGGACTCCCACTTCCATCTTCTCAATTCAGTGAGACTGTCGAGTGCTGCCTGGTGGTTCTCCTTGTGTCGTGGCCTGGTACCCCCATGCATGAGCTGGAGCTTTCCTTGTTGTACGGCTTTCCTTGTATGTCCTTTTGTGGATCATTTGTGGCTGATGTGCAATATCTGAAAAACTTTTTTTCATGTATATTGTCTTTATCTTAGTTTTTCTGGAGAAAGGTAAATCTGGTTCCTTTCATTTCATTTGGGTCAGAAGCGAAGTCCTCAAAACTGTTTTCCACTCTATTCTATTTATTTTGTTATCAGCTAATCCATGGTCCTTAACTATAGAAATTACCTTGCTCTTACTTTGGGGATGAAAGGAAGATGCAGGGTCCTTCCTAACTTTTCAACTCTCAAACTTGTACTTAGAGAGACATCCAGATGGTGGGATTTTGTCCAAAACAATATGCTAGGAATAAAAGCACAGAGGAAATCCAGAGAGGCAGGGAGGAGGAGAAATAACTAATAACGCCTCAGCTATAAAGACCCAAGAAAATATTATTTGGCCAGTATTTCTTACTCACAGTCACCTCAAAGCTAATGGATAGAGTGATAGTTTAGGCTTAGAAAGTTAGTTGCCATCCCACCTCGAGCTCTTTAAAAGAAATATCAGGGGCAGCTCATGATGCTTGGGGGAAGGCCTCCCCACCAGGCTGAAGAAGGGTGTAGGTGTCTAGACTGTTTTCTGGTCTGACCCAGGGACATTTCTGATGCTGTTGCCTGGTACTCACGGTCTTCCCCTTTGTCTGTGTTTCAGGTTTCCTGTCTCAACTGGTGTATGACAAGCCGCTGACCGAGTGCATCCGTGCTGGCCACTATGCAGCAAGCGTCATAATTCGGCGGACTGGCTGCACCTTCCCCGAGAAGCCTGACTTCCGCTGAGGAAGCGCAGGAAACCCAGGCCAGGGGCACAGACACTGCCCGACCGCTTCTGAGAATCCCCAGCGTAACAGAAGGAAATGATCTGCCACCTTTTCCTACATAATAATGGTCAATCTTAACTTAGAATGTGTAGTAATGCTCAGTAGAATCTTTATTCTCTCAACAAATTCAAAAATGATTGTTTATTTCCATAGTGTGATAGTGCCACTTAAATGTCAATTAAACAGGAATATAACATTTCAATAGAAATTTTTATTTAATTTTCAATTACTTTGTAAATTCATGTGTATTTAGCAAATTGATCAGGTTTTTTTACATTTCTGCTTTGAATGCAGGTGCAATTTAATATAATAGATATTTTTAAAGGAATTAACCCTAACACATCAATCTTTAGCTTTTTATACAAGTATATTTAATTTAGGGGTGTGTGTGTGTGTGTGTGTATGTGTGTGTGTGTACACACATTCATACATATATGTACCACATATACACACAATAAATAGCCAAATAAGGTACAGAAATATTTACCTTGCCAAGTTATGCCAAATCATCTCTTCAGTGTATAATCAAATATATCATAAACTTTGGATAATTAAATAACTTGCCAAATTATAAATTATATTATAATATTCAAATCATAATCTTATATTTACTTATGGTACTCTGTAATTTGATACAAATAAAAGCTTGTGATATGGGAATTTTTTCTGTCTTTGCTCTGTGCTCAACAAACTGAGAAAGAAAAATCATTATTTAATATTGATCCCTGAAATGATACCGAATTTGTTACTGGAGATAGAAGAACAATATATAACACATTGAAAAATAATAATAGTGGAGACCAAAACATCACTGTTTTAAGGAAGACGAAATGGTACAACAGAACCTCAGGAGTCAGACTTACCTTCCCATGATCTTGGGAAAATTACTCAGCCTCTTTCAGCTTGTTTCTTTTCTGTAAAATGGGATGATAGCACCAATGTGCAAGGTTCCTGAGGTGATTTGAGAGAGAAAACAAAGTATAAAAAGCGTGGTACAATGCCTAATAAGTGCTTAATAACTACTTACTATTTTTATAATGATTATTATTGAAGAAAAAAGGATAATATTTATAAAACTGAACTAAATCATAGAAAAAGGTTCAAGTTTTTGTTTCATGTTTAGGTAAACTTTAAGGTCTCCAATGCCTGCTTGTCCTTTTGGAGTATTATTGAGATAATGAATGTACCAGAGAATCTTCCATTTTAAAGGATACAAACCAGTGGTTTTAGTATATTCACAAAATTGTGCAGCCATCACCGTATCTAAGCCAAGCACATTTTCCTCACCCCAAGAAACCCTGTACATCCCAATTCACCCCATTCTCACCCCCTGGCAACTACTAGTCTGTCATCTGCCTGTGTAGGTTTGCCTGTTTTGGACATTCATAGAAATGGAGTCATATAATGCGTGTTCTTTGTGTCTGGCTTCTTTCACTTAGCATGTTTTCAAAGTTTATCCATTTTGTAGCCATGTATCAGTACCTCATTTCATTTTTTTCTTTTTGCCAACTAACATTCCATTGTGTGGATATACATTTTGTTTATTCATTCATCAGTTGATGGAAAATTGGGTTAACACTTTTTGCCTATTGTGAATACTACTGCTATGAACATTCACGGACAAATTTTTTTCAATTTTGGGGGGTATATACCTAAGAATAGAGTTGCTGGGTCACATGATAACCTTATGTTTAAATTTCTGAGAAACTGCCAAACTTTTTTTCATTCTCACCAGCAAGGTTTGAGGGTTCCAGTTTCTTTCTGTCTTTGCCAGGCTTGATATTATCTGTTTGATTATAGCCATTTTAGTGAGTGTGAAGTGATATCTCATTGTGGTTTTGATTTGCATTTCCCTAATGACTAATGACATAGAGCATCTTTTCATGTGCTTTTTGGCCATGTATATTTTCCTATGGAGAAATGTCTATTCAGATCCCTTGCCCATTTTTTAATTGTGTGATTTGTCCTTTTATTATTGAGTTATAAACACCCTTTACATATTGTAGATATGTCTTTTACTAGATATACTAGAGATCCTATGCACAAAATTTGTGCAAGAGTAGTCCTTTACAGACCCGGCTGCCTTGGCCCTCACATCCCCGGCTTCATCTAGAAGGACATCAGGACAGTCCTTCTGCTGTAAGTCATTCAGTCAATTTACATAA